GGCAATTACCCAGAAGGGATACGTTGGATCGTGGTTGAGCAGGCTGCTTATTGTTACTGATGACTGCTCGTAAATGAAAGAATGCTAGTACAGTCAAATCTGATGCGCGTATGTAGCCAAGTGTAGATGGAGACCAAGAACCAAGTGTAACGGATTGCTGTAAAGAGCTCGTCTAACGATGGCTCTTCAGCGGCAGCGTAATGTATTCGAGTGCCAATCGTATAGTGGAACCGTTAGCAAAAGAGTATGAGACGGACATGCAGTAGGACGGTGCTCCGCAATCGGACCTAGTCGAAGCTAATGCCTCTGGACGACACGTATGATCTTCGACGGTACACTTACTGCCGATGAAATGCAACTCTGTCGAGTTTGTGTCGATACTGATTCGAGTCGAAGCCAAGTCGATGTAGACGTCGAATAACCAGGATCCGGACTTTTTACACTGTTCTTTCCGGGGAAAGGCTAGAAGCCTGAATTTAATCTTAGGGATTTTAATTATTTCCTGAATTTAATCTTGGGGGCAGTTGTCAGCATGTACTGTGGCTGCTCTGATTTTTCTTTAACAAACATGTGCTTGTTTGCAGTTTTTGCTATTATAGTTATCTGTAAAATACAGAAAATGATTTATTATCTGCAGTTGAATTTTTATAAAATATATGGATATGGTGTTCTGGATTTTGTTTATTACAATTATGTAGGACCATTTTATATTGCATTAAACATTTACGGCTGGATTAGTGTGGAGGAATATTAAGTCGTCTACTAACTGCCTTCTTGGCACATGTACCTAATTTGATAAATATATATAATTTGCTATCAACACAGTATACGTATGTTGATAGCAAATTATATGCATTTATCAAATTAAGTGCGTAAAAAATTAAATCACAAATAATGAGCTAATCATAAAATTATATTACTAATTAACTCTACTGCTAAGAATGAACAAACCATGCTTTAAGTGTAAATCTTACGCTGTAGGCAATCAGCTTTGTTCTTTGCTTCTTCAGAAAACTTATAAGATTGTACTGCTAATCAGCTTCTTGATTTGTTCTAAGGAGCAAGTAAGTATATTTCAAGCAAAGATATAGCAAGTATGTGCTAGTATTTAGTGTCCCTATTGCTTAATATAGATTAATGCCTAGCAATCGATTTCTTTCAGGTGGGGTTGCAGCAGTATATACTGGTGCTGGCACTGTGCATCTCGACGATTATTTCGTATGCAATCATTTTGCTAACATCGTATCGAATACTCAAAACACTGCGGAAGAATGTCGCAGCGCAAAGGACCAAAGCACTGCAAAAACAGCTCACCATCGTTATGCTCATCCAGGTATCGCTGGTGGACACAATATACTTTTTTCAGATGGCTTAAAAGTTTGTCGGAGTGCTACCTCAGTTTGAAAATGTCACTAATAAGCTGATGTTGTCACGGATGATATCGTAACTCGCATTTAAAAATTCGTGATAGTAGAAATGTGTAAAAGTCAGTAGAAGCAACGCATATTCACAACAGTGCCGCCGTTCTCAAAGCATCGAACGTCCTTCCAGCTCGATACACTGAAGAC